TACTATCAGGAGAAAGATTATGGTGGGCTGTGACCTAGAGCCAGGTGAAATCTTATTGATGAAATAAGATACTATGTACTTATAGAGAAAACGGAACAGAAAGGAGGTGGACTACCAAGGATGTAGGTGCCTAAGTTGGGAAACCTATTTGTGGCTAAGAATTTACAAGCCAGAGGTAATTTCCTGGGCAGAAATCTTCAGAATAGGATACAGAAGAATTTGTAACAAGGACATAGGCCTTTTTGTTTGGGAAGTGGGTGGGGTGGGGGGGGTGGGGGAAACTGAAAAAGGGGAGAAGATAACGTTTCGTTTTCTCAGGCATTTTGTTCCCCTAAGCAATAGAAATCTTTGAAACACCAGAATGGGTTCTCTGAGTGCTTCCATAATAAATTTGAATCATTTTCATTCTAAAAATTTAAAACTGTAGCTCACCTAATCTAATATACTAGTAATATAATTTGAGGGTAAGTGAGTTTCTCAAAGTTATATGACTAACAACTTGTTTGAAAGAAACTGGTAACTTGCTAGAGATGAAGTTAAGATATGGCATAACTTCATAATAATAATAAGTAATTAAGTTACAATAGGTAATATATTAAGAATTTATTATGTTTTAGGTACTATGCTAAGTATTGTATATATATATTATCCTATGTAATCCCCATTATTACTTTAGAAGCTAGATTCCACTATTGTTATCCTTATTTTCAGATAAAGAAACTAAGATTTAGTGAGGTATATCAATGAGGGTAGACTAGGTTAAGTTGTGGTAACAAATAACCCTCAAAATCACTATGGCTTAATAAAACCAAGTTTATTTCTCTCTTATGCTACAAGTCTATCCCAGGTCACCAGGGGGACTCTGCCCAAGATAGTTACTCTGAGACCCAGGCTGATGAAGCAGCTACCATCTTGAATATTGCTGGTTGTTGTGCTAGAGGGGCAAGAGAAAATTTTGGAGAATCTTGCACTGGTTATTAAATGTTATAGCCCAGAAGTTACATAGAACACAGTTGCTCAAAATTCTTTGACCAGAACTAGTTACATGGCACCACCCAACCACAAAGGGGTCCAGTCTTCTGGGTGCCAGGAGGTGAGGGGAACTGATTATGTGTGAGTAGCATCAATGACCATAACAGAGATTAAACCACCTGCCTAAGGTCACACAGCTATGCAATTGTGGATACGAGTTTTTACCCAGCTGTAGACCCTTGAGCTCAGGCTACTAATCCCTAGCCACCTAATAAGATTCCCAGAAAACCAGCCAAGTAGTGAGACTATCCTCCCCTAGATGTTTCTGGGTTTCCTTGAGAAGTACTAATAGTGAGAAAGAATCTTAAGCTCCTGACCCCTTAGGCAGTGGATGAATATATTATGCTAGAAAAAGGGGTCATTCTCTGAAGATCTTCATTCCGTTAAAGGACGGAAAGGAAGGATTTTCATCTACATTCATGCTAATAGTCTTAGCTAATGCTCTGCCTTCTTGTCCTCTAAACTCAACCCAATGATTCAGAGTAGTTTCAATATTACCGATAGTCAAGGAGAGTTATTCCTAGAAAAATGGACATATTTTCGAAGTAATCTATGCTTTTGATCTAGTGTGCTATTTGAAACCAGACATATAAGTTACATTGTTGCTTTTTGTGAAATGGCCTGAAAATCATGGGGAATTGGAGGGAAGCCAGTATTTCAATTTAGTTAGACCCCTGACCTCATTAGATGGTAATAATTTTCTCTGATGCGAGCTGGATTTCAAGATTGTCTGTGCAGAGGAAGTCTCCATTATTCTCTTCTCCTCTGCTCTGTTTAGTTGCTTCATCATACCATTGAATCTTTATAATTATTGTCATTACTATTATTATTATTATTATATACATTTTTGGGTGTATAACATTATAATTCAACATCTGTGTAAACTACATAATGATCACACAAGACCTATCTTCTCATGTTGGCCTACAATGTACCAAAATGTATATCACTCATCAGCTGGATCAAAAGGACAATCCCCTTATCTGACTGAAAGGGGTTATGTTTCAGCAATAGTTTACAATATCACAGGTGTGGAAGAATGTTTCATTGGTTCCCAAACTTTGACTCCTCCACAGTATTAAAATATGCCCAAATCTAGGCCCTGGGCTCATGGTGGGCTCACTCCTTGACTTTTGGGCTTGGTCATGTGACTTGCTTGGCTAATGGGATGTTATTGACATGATGTGAAACAGAGGGTTTTATTGTACCTGTCTGGTTAGGAATACCCTCTTCTTTTGCCCTCCTGTATTAGATAGTTGTTCCAAGGAAGGTGAGAGACAACTGGAGCAGAAGGGACCCAACCCATAGCTCTATTGGTCAAACCTCAGCTGACCCACAGACTCACGAGTGAGGAATAAATGCTTACTGTTGTATGCCACTGAATTTGGGGTGGTTTGCTATGCAGCAAAATTATGGCTGTAGCTAACTGATACAACAGAGCTCTGAAAAACTGCATTTATCAAAAATTGCTAAAGCCACAATAAACATTTGGTAATAAATATCAATGAATCTTAGAGGTAGGGTGTCCCAGAATGCAACTTTTTAAGAATGCAGAAATTCCATCTACATCATCTACTTAAAAATTCTTAGGGTTTATACTACTCCATAGTCCATTCCATTGTTGTGTCAGGCAAATTTGTGAGAACTGAGTTTGATTCTGGAGCACAGTCCACTGCAGTATCAGCTAATAATACTGTCTCTGAAATCTTTTTGTCATGGTTTCTGGAGAAATGCTAAGAGCACAGACCTACCAAAAAATCAAAAGTGGGCTCTGAGGAGCTCATATAAATTATAATGATAAACATTTTCAGAATATCTGCATTAGATCAATACTGTCCTAGGTATTTTCAATAAATTATCGAATTTATTTCTCATTCTTAAAAGATATTTAATAAAGATGTTGAAATTGAGGCTCAGAAAGGTTAAGTGATTTATCCAAGGACACATAGCTAGTAAGTGGCAAAACCAGGATTCTTATCTAAGTCTTCAATGCCCAAGCTCTGTCTATCCAATCTGAGATTTATCTTTTTGTCTTCAACCAGTGCCTGCCAACATGCTTTTCAGATATGGGCACTTAATACTGTTTACACTGAAGGGAAAGTTTAGCTTAGTCCTAAGGGGGTAGAGGAGGAAACAGGGAAATTGATCCAGATAATCAGATTATCAACCATCTCAGGATTGATTTTGGCCCAGTGACTGCTGATGTCTTGCTCAGTGTTCTCTCTCTTTGTCCCAAGGGCTTGTTTAGATTTATCTTTTCCTGATAGAGCACATCTTCTGGGTTGAGAGCAGGGAGATGGGAAGGTGCACTCTTATATTTTCTTGATTGTTCATTTTCATCTAACTTCGGACACCTTTTGTTCCTGAAGAACAACATTGATTCCCTGACATCCTTCAATATGAAGTTCTGGGTCATTAGGGAGCATGTTGGACCTAAGTTTCACTGTGCCAATCAATTAGCAGGTGACCCTTATCTGACAGCCAAGCGAAGCAGAGAAACCACTTGGCCAGCTCGGCTGGTTCTGCCTGGATGGGTCACAGCAACCGGGATGCTCTTCTCTAAGGAGCTCAACACTCAGCACTGACACGCAGGTAAACAGTCTTTTAAACAGCAGGAAAAATTACACCATAGGGTGGAGTTTCTTTAAAAAGAGGGCTATTATGAGATGGTAGACATGATTCACTGAAATAGCCCTGGGATGTAAGAGAGAGTGAGGAGAAGCAATCCTCTCTTTTCAAACTGAAGCCACAGCAGGACAGTGGAAGAACACTGGTTTGAGGCCCGAGAGAAGTGACAGCCTCAGCGTCATTGACTTGCTGTGTTGACCTTGGGCATGTTACTTAACTTTTCAGGACTTCACTTCCCTCATCTCCACAGCAATAGAGACAAGAGCGTCATCTGACTTGACAAATGCAAAACTGTGTCTGCGAGGAAAGGGTAGGACAGGCAATCTGGCCTAGGGGGTCCCCGTTTTCTATATTGCCCATCTTCCAGGTGGATCCATGCAGAATGCTTCCCTGTGCTAACAGGTGCAAGGTTGGGGAATGGTGCTGGGCAGAACCAGAGAGTTTTGATGTTCTGAGAAATCATTTTGGACAAATGGCATCAGAAGCCAGACTGAGACATGATCCAAAGAGGCCCTGACACTGTTCCTTTTTGACCAGCCCCATGCTTGCTCATCTCTGCTTGCACAGATGGCACTCCTAACAGAAATGACAAATGGCCAATATTAGTGTTGTTTGTTTAAATTAATTATCCAATGAACTAATCTATTTAGCCCCTCTAATTATTCCTCAGTGGAAGATTAAAAA